GTAAAATACAAGTATAAATTCCTTGCAGTAGTTTATAGATGATATTAAGAAATTATTATTACTATTTATTATTTATTTTAGGCACAAAGGCCAATGATACTGTAGTATACTTAATCATATTATTAAAGTGGCAATCCCTTCAGAGACAAATTGCTCTACGTACAATAAGTTTATGATGATGCTTAGAAAGTGCATTGTTTTGGTGATGAAAGAAAATCCTATTGCCATTTTGTGATGATAGAAAATTAATCCAGGACCATGGGATTGGAAGGAAAGAATCATAACCACCAAGCTATTCAACTCCACTCAAACCTGTATGAAAAACGTCTGGCCAAGAGTCAGGCATGATGCATGACACAATTTATTAAAGACTTTCGACAGCAAATTTTCTAAAGCATAACGCCTGAATGAATAAAAGCAAAAGGTAGAAATTTGAAATTAAGTATACCAACCATATGCCTGGAATTTGATCTACAACATTGGTTGTCTAAGAAAGAGTAGATTTAAGTTTCCTATTAAAAAAATAAGTTAAGAATAATAACAAAGCACATTTAAATCTGTGATGGATTTAATAACATCTACATGGTAACTATTGATGGAATTATATAGATTATAGTTTGTGGAATGGTATACCAGTTGTAATATTACAGAAGTGATAGATCACTAATATGAGTTACTGTATATTAAATCTCCAGTACAACTAAATGAACTGATATTGTACTCTCAACTTGAAACCAATCTATTTCATTCTAGAATCAAGTACTGTAGTCAATAATTTAACTCGTATATCAATGGTCAGTGCAATAAACAATCAAACAACTGAATTTAGATTTTAACCTATTAAGGGAGTCCAAAATTGGAAGCATCCACAACCGGAAGATCTGTTTTTATATGAGCTTTCTCAACATTTTTTAATTACATTTTGCTGTACATGGTGATACTGTACCTAATAATTGTCACAGACTTCCCAAAATTTATACTCACCTATTAAAACCATGGAAATATTGTGAATTTGCAGGTGGTGTGTTATTTTCAGGGAGACACCATGACTTACAGGAGATTTGTAAACATTACACTTACTGGCACTTGCTAAATTTACAAAAATATTGTTGTACACCATTGACACTTAATCAAATATTTTTAATTTCTGTTAAATTAATCCAATGCAAAAGTGCCTTTGAAATTAAAGTTGCCCATTTTCATTCTCAAGAACTGAATATGAAATCCGATGGCGTTTTGTCAAAATCTACATTGGCAGGTGCCATCTTATTCAAAAACCCCTAGAAATCAATTCTATCGGGGCAATAAGAATATCAGTTCCGCTGCCGTATTTACTCGTGCAGTATTATTATCCTCCCTCCAGTGTACCGGTACAAATCAATACCCTAGAGACCTGCATCCACACAAAAGATCTAAAGATAGGGATGCCAATAAAGCAGAGATCAATTTAGGACAATGATTACTAGTAGACAGTGGGGAAATTGCTTAACCAAAGACGTATTTATAATTGTGTATTTATTTACTTTACTGGACAAAGGAGATCTAGAAATGACAAGCTATTAATGTAATCTTATTGAGTTAACATTTCCTGAACTTGCCTTTGAGGTGTGTTTCTACATTTTGTCACTGGTACCGGCCACAATTTTGGCTGTTGAGGTTTTCTTTTGTAACCTGCACATGATTGGCATTCAAAATTTTCTTATTTGTAACCAATGTAAAGCCCTAATTAGACTATCAAGTTTTATGTAACAAAAATATGTGACATGACTTAATATGGTCACGATGACATCACATCATCACATACAACAGTTTTTTGTCAATGAAAATTTGATAGTCTGGTTTCTACTGTACATCTTACGCAAGATTGGACTTGTTAACTGACGCCCAAGAATAACATTCTCTAGATGATTACTAATTTGAAAACCTATTCAATAAATTGTAATCAACTTCTACAGCTTACCATGTTCCCATTTAATCAATAGGGAGAGAATATATCGATAGCATTTTAAACTAACCTGGATTCAGAAACAGCTTTCTACTTCTAAAGGTTATCATGGATTATTAACCCATTACAAATTCTAACTTGGAACTTTTTCTTCATTGAAATTGAAGGAATAATGAAAGAGACTTTTTACATGGTCTTATTCAGTTCAGAAATTTGTGGTTAAAAGATTACAGAATGGAGAGATCTTATTTATCACCTATTATTTTACCTTTATTTCTAACTACTACTAAATCCTTTCCAAGCCACTGGGGCTCATAGGGCTGGAGCTTATCCCCACTTTCTGTAGTGTGAAGCGGATGAGAGTTGTACTCCCCCTGGATGAGACACTAGTCCATCGCAGGTTAGTCCCCAGCAGTTTGCTAGTACCCATTGACAGCTGGGTGGACTGAAGCTGTGTAGCTAAAGTGCCTTACCCAAGGACACAAGCGAATCTGCAAAGCGGAGACCCAAAACCCCCACCTTACGCTTGAAAGCCCAAACCTCAACCGCTGCGCCAAACTGCCGCTACTTAACTTTATTTAAATACGAAATATGAATTTAGAAATATTTATTGCAGATTTTTCTATACCTAGAGTAGTGTCTCTTCTCACGTAAAAAAAAATAATTTCTGGCAATCAGGGTAGCTATATGGTCAAAAACTCAAACCCAGCAGTAATCCTGCTACCAAGTTGGTCAGTGTCTATTCCTACCCAGCATGCCTTCAGTTACTGAGCATGCTTTCAGTTACCCAGCATGTCTTTTGCTAATCACCATACCCGCTTTAACCCAGTATGTCTTTCACCCCGACAAGGTACTGGTTTGACAACCACCATGTTAATTGCCTTAATAACTTACATCTGGATTGATCAGAATATAGTAAATTGTATGATCCCAGTTGATCACACAGCAATATCGATGCAAAATTCCACATTCCGAAAGCATCATTAGTAAAGATTCACTCTTAATACCAAAATAATTCACATTTTTTTAGTGACATCCATCATAGCTTTTGTGAACAATAAACTCTATTTTGTTGATATTTATAACTTGTTTTTATACCTTTTAAACACATTGTTCGTTGTTTCATATTTATTTACAGTATTTGAATACTGAAGTTACATTAATACTTTATACTTCAAGGGGGTTTTTTTTTTACTATTACTGCTCTTATGAAATTTCATTAATATCTACATTTGTATGTACAGTATACTATGTAAAATGTTGTTTTAATCTTGCTTGTGTCTTGCTTAATTTTAGTCTTTTTTTTTTTGCTAATGTTTGTTCTTTTTTGAATTGTATCCTTGAACAGTATTCCACAATTTTTGTTATCCTTAGAGGGCTTTTGTTGTATTTTTCTTTAATCTAAAATGTTATGATAAATAAATTAATAATTAAAATATGGATCAGACAAAAATCAAAAGCGCAAACTTATAGTAAGCCTAGGCATACAGTACATATCGATGATCAATGAAACGATGAGAGAAGTTGGGACGGATATAACAATACTACTTAAAATATAAATTAATATGCATTATTGCATACAGTATAGTGCGTGGAAGTAGTTAGATTATGTCTTTGTTCAGTTTTATATCAAGGATACCTTTGTCCAATACAACTATCATTACTAAAAATTTTGTATTGCCAGTAGCTAAAAAATGTATTACAATAAAATTGTGTGATGTTATTAACAATGAACATCTATGAACCATGTATACAATGGCAAGTTGGGAAAATGTCTTTATATTGAGACAGCCTTTGTTAGAACTTTATGATGCTCTGAACAAGATCAGTTTAAAGAGCATTGTTCAATACCATACTCTAGGAATGGACCGATTTAATGTACAAAGTGTCCACAGTTTTGGTGGTTAAAATATCTGTCCAATTTTTTTAATCCCAGAGTTTTGGGTTGGCATCACATGGAAAATACCTTAATTCCCCATGATATAGTTATAATTAAATAAAATAAATAAAAATATAGATCAGACAAAGAAACAAAAGTAGGAATTGCTAGTATTACAGGTATGGTACGATATATCAAGGATCAATGAAACAATGATGAGAACTTGTGAGAGATGATACAATTACCATTTAAAATAATAATGCATCATTGCATGTAGTGCAGGGAAGTAGTAGATTATGTCTTACAAGTACATGTCATTACAGATGAATTTTTAAGAAACAATGATCAAAAAATAAAAGTAAAGTATGACAACAAAATTAGCTCAGTGATTCCAATGCATTTTGTTACAGTATATTCACAGTCATATTCAGCCATGGAATTTCACGAGGGATCAATAGTGACTTCTTGTATCCTTGTTATACTGTAAAACACAGTTTGCAATCATTCCCGTCTATCATCCTTACCCTTCACCAAAATCTAGATACAGATATTTAGTAATAACTAAATAACGATAACGTGTAGCACGCTTGCATTTAATTATGGAATTTTTGAGTAGCGGTCTGGGATACGTGTTTAGCAACCAGAAATTATTAAAGCCTGTAAAAACAAAGTCTTGATCACTCACCAGTTCTTGCGAGGCATAATCCGGCCGAGATTTGTCCGCTGATAAATAACAAAAATCAAATGTAAAATGTCTGACACGTTGGCGATGACGATCACCATCAGTAGCAGGTCCCTCAACCTAACAAAATGTAGAATGATTTTTTTCACTCAATTGAGAACATGATTTATTGACAAAACAATGAGTTTACAGTTCATGGTCAAAAATCTCTCCCATCTGACAAAAGCAATAAATATTTATCTAAAATTAATTAAAGGAAATATAACAAAAATTCATAATATCCCTGAATACTACAATACAATAATTTGTTACAAAATTATAATTAAGACCTTAAAATTGTAAATTTTATTACAACTCCTAATTTTGAAATTTACAGTACTTAAGGTGTAAATAATCTCTTAAATCTTTATTTACTTGTATACAGTCAACTCTCCCAATACCGACCACCCTTCGGACCGTCCACTTTGACTGGTTTTCCGGACGGACCAGTTTAGAGAACGTCATGTTTTAACCTACCTTGGTTCCCCGACCTTGAGTCAATAATAAGCCTAGGCCTAGCAAGGTACAGCAGATAGGTACACCACACTGCATCATGTACTGTGTAGGCCCTGTCTCTTATACACATCTAGATGTGTATAAGAGACAGGTCTTATATTGCATACTCCGGGGCACTATACCTGAAGCCGAGGTGGGTGTGAACTCTCAAGCAAGTGGCCGTTCCAAAACTTTCCACCTATACATTGTAGAAGAAATTACACCACCGCTGCCAGAAGCTAAAGTGTAGCACCACAAACTAAACTAAATGTGACAAATACAGATGGATAAAAAAATGTTCCTTAATCCAAACTCTCATTTGAGTATATTTTATTTGAGGAACTGACACTAAACATGTGAGGCCGAGGTAGGTGTAAACTCATAGGCAAGAAGCCGTCAGCACTATACAAAGACTTTGAGTCTGGTATGAAGAGATGAATCTGGTATGAAGAGATGCGTAGGCCCACTGCCTTCAGTGTTTTGTAAAACTCCTTGTAGCTACTAGTATCTGCATACAGCTGAGTCTTCGCTTCGAGGTTTATCCACCAATTGTTTTTTATTTCTCGTAGTTTACACCAAAAATTTGCTGTAGGTAATGTGAATTTTTTCTTGGAGAGAACCCTTGGACTTCTTCTAAGGTGATAAATAACAAAAATCAAATGTAAAATGTCTGACACGTTGGCGATGACGATCACCATCAGTAGCAGGTCCCTCAACCTAACAAAATGTAGAATGATTTTTTTCACTCAATTGAGAACATGATTTATTGACAAAACAATGAGTTTACAGTTCATGGTCAAAAATCTCTCCCATCTGACAAAAGCAATAAATATTTATCTAAAATTAATTAAAGGAAATATAACAAAAATTCATAATATCCCTGAATACTACAATACAATAATTTGTTACAAAATTATAATTAAGACCTTAAAATTGTAAATTTTATTACAACTCCTAATTTTGAAATTTACAGTATCTTAAGGTGAAAATAATCTCTTAAATCTTTATTCACTTGTATACAGTCAACTCTCCCAATACCGACCACTCTTCGGACCGTCCACTTTGACTGGTTTTCCGGACGGACCGGTTTAGAGAATGTCATGTTTTAACCTACCTTGGTTCCCCGACCTTGAGTCGATAATAAGCCTAGGCCTAGCAAGGTACAGCAGATAGGTACACCACACTGCATCATGTACTGTGTAGGCCTACTGACCTGAGAACGTCATTTAAAATTCATGTTTTACTATATTTTTACATTACTTATGTTGTACGTACCTATTTTTTTGTGTCGAAGTCTATTATCAATAAAAATTTACACAAATCAACTTAATGTGTATCGTAATTTATAATAAGTGTCAGTGTTATTTTTTGTTCGATCGCCATAACCTGCTTCACTTCAACGTGGTTGCACGCTTAATTGGTTTTCGACGCCGCTGGCATAACCTTGGTGGGTCACTGAATGCTAAAAATAAGTGCTAAGTTATGCAGCGCCCCCTAAACTGCGTCAGCCAATAGAAAACAGTCAGAGGTATGTGCAATTGTTTTTATGAAATCGATAGCCTAATGTTGGGACCGCTTGGTTTGCCTTAGCGTGAGAATGAATGCAAAATGTGAGAAAAGGATACGTTCCTTAATAAAGAAAACACACTCATGAACTTTGTTTTATCAGTTTATTAAACAAATGAAATCTAGGCTTATTGCAATTAATTAATTAATGCGCTACCGGCGTGTCATACGATCAACACTAACGATCGTACACGTGGTGTTGTTCTGTGATTGATAGTCGTTATTTGGAGTCAGTCGATGTGTCTCTGATGATTTATTTAACATATTTCGTCAATAAATCATCGTTTTAAACTGGCCGTCCGGTTTTCTGAAGGTAATTTTATTGTTCCGGACTTAAGAATTTGGAATTGGGAGATCCGGTTTTCAGAAAGTATTTTAATACAGTAAGAATAGGAATGATTTTGGGACTTTAAAAAACGACCGGTTTTGCGTGAAATCCGGTTTTCTGGGTGGTCGGTATTGGCAGAGTTGACTATATCATTAAAAAAAAACAACCCGATACATGTAAGAGGCAGGGATAGAAGCCAATCAGGATGCCACAGACATTTAACCTTAAGTTAAACAATAACTATTAAAATAACAGAAGAATACCAGCAAGCCATGGATGAGGGATAATAAAAGAAATAGAATGTAGTATTTTGCAATCATTTATAAAGATAAAGCTTAGCTAATTGACTGAGATGGGAACGATACATATGAAATTAAATTTAGAAGTATATTTAAATAATTAGACGATACATAATTATTATTTTTTTTTTAATATAAAAATAATAAAATATCTTACCTTCAAATTGACTATGCTTAGCACGTTTTCACTAACATCCAAAATAAATGATGATCCTGTCTCTTCCTCTCTGTAATATCAGCGAATAATTGGTCAATAATTGCTTTTATTAAATTAATTATAATATTCTCTATATTTTTCAAGAAACTGAAAGTCAATTTGCCAATTTGCATGTTTTTTTTTTTTTTTTTTTTTTTCCAAATACTCATTTTTTTTTACTCTAAAAAAAAAACATTTTAAACAAAATTGTAATTTTTTAGTAACTTATGCATCAAGTTTTGCACTTTTTTGTTCATGAACTGCTAGTCTAATAGTTTAGCTATCAAAGTTTCGGTAAATTTGTGGTGGGTTGAGATAAGAATTGGAAATGTATTGTAGACTTGGCTGGTTCCAATGGTGGAACCTGGAACCGCCAGAAGCAGGGAAGGGATGATGTCCCAAGTGGGAGCATAAGTGTGTGGGGTCAAAGGCCACCCAAAACCCGGACGGGATCTAGAGAGCAATTGTAAACAGCCTGAGATACTACTATTTGATTGTTTAGATTGATCAGCATTTGATAATGAACAGAGAATGGGTTTGACGTCAGTGAATTTATTCAAAAAAATAATAGTGTACATTTATAATGCGCCAGTATCCATATAAAAATGCTTATGACAGTATATAAAGAGAGATATTAACAGTAGGTAATCTTAACAACAAATAAAAATAATATTAAATAATAATAATAATAATAATAATAATAATAACCTTAACCCTCATGGGGAAGGCCTCAGGATAGCCTTTGTTTGCCCAAGGCACAATTCTTTAATTCAATTAAATAATTTTAAATCAATTAGGCCTAGACAGTTCTTATGGAAAAATAGTGTTTGCGGTTACTACTACGATCACAGATCATTTTTTTTTACCCAATACCTGGAGAGAAAGCTACTACAGTATTAATTACTAAACTTAAGTATCAGAACGTTAAACAGGGAATAATTATAGCCGGACATGATAAACTCACATTTACAGAAATAGGATTGAAGCCGGTTTTACAATTTATTCTCACAAATCAAAAGAGTTGGTTCGCTTCCTGATTGGTTGCGCAATACTTCGCTTCCCAAAATGCAGAAACAGTTTGAACTACTGAGTTCGCTGAAGCGAAAAACTTTGATAGAAATTTGAATGCACATGTGCATGAACCAAAGCTTTCGATTTGCACAAATAAAAAATGTGTTTAGTGTAAAACTGGCTTCAAGCCTATTCTTATTACTTTGTACTTAGAAATATTTAAACTATTATGGTCACCATACATCTCTCTGTCATTGTCACGGTCTGATTTAAAACCTTTCCCTGTGAACTTCTCACTTCTCTACCTTAACCATAAGATAACAACTCCCTGCCTCAACACAAACTAATTTCAAAACTTTCTGTACCCACTATCTAATAATATGACAAGGTAAACTTGGATGGAGGTGTGATGAATGGATTGCTGACAATTAACATCACAGAATGAATAAAAACATTAGCAGCTCTTGAGTCTTAATGAACACAAAATACAAACCCAACCAGACCACTATAAAAAAAATTAAAAAAAAAAAAAAAAAAATGGAATGAGAGTGGTGTGTAAAATCTTTTTCAAGCTCGAATCATTGTAGATTTCTCGGACGGGATCATTCGTCGTTTAAATAAATGTTGATTTTATGTTTTTACTATTTTGACTTAAAATCCATAAGCCTGTCTCTTATACACATCTAGATGTGTATAAGAGACAGTATATATATATATCGGGGTAGGCCTAGGCCCTATATACAGTTAGTTAGTAAGCAGGTCGTGACTAGGCCTAGGCCTAGGCATACATCACAACCATTGATTTGCAATCAATGAAAGTAAGTAAGTTACTAAGTAGGTTCCTCACCAGGTATTTTCAACACTTACTTTTTACTCAAAGGTCGGACTCGTACTGCAACTTTAACATTCGCCATAGCAAATGATGTACGCATATATAAAATCCCATATTATTATTTAGAACAAACAAAGCTGATATTATTTATCCCAGGCACATCCATCACCATGTTGTATACAATCCACTCTCGCAAATACCAACTTAGATTTTTTTACATACAAATTTCGCGTCTTCTTACGGCCGTAGGCGTTCTTCTAGACGTCGAGTGAACAGTCAAAGATTATACTCAAGACTAATGGAATTGAATATAAACTTGGTGGCGCTAAGCATAAAAAACTTTTATTAATAAAGAGATTTTATTGCGGCCCGAATTATCACTGCCCTACTTTTAGGTGACAACCCGGCATTGCGCAAGACAAACAAACACACACACACACGATACTTTACACAAACTAATCTCAATGAGGTTTAGGTCCTTGTAGATGTTTTGGTCGTGAGAAAATTACCTCCAGCACTGAGAGGAATTGAACACAGGACCCTGGGGGAGGCTTCGCAGGCCCGTAGCCAGGTTCTTCCAAGGTGGGGGGGGGGTGTTTCTGGGCGTGAGGTCCACAGTCGAAGCCCTGGTGGGGTAGGTGAAACCCCATAGCAAGAGGATTTTTGTGTTTTATGGGTCTAAATGATGCTATAAAAGCAGATATGTTTGAAAAACCGCTGTGTCTGGGTGGTCTGCAGTGCATAGTTGGGTTAGAGGACTTATTTGGGAAATTTAAAGAGGGGGTTTCGCCAAAAAAGAAGGGGGTTTGCTAGAAAAAGGGGTTCTCCCGAACCATAAACCCCCCACCCCCCGGATACGGGCCTGCTTCGTCGGACCTCTTGTCGGCAAATTGCCACGGCTGCCAGGGATTGGAAAGCAAGTCAACTGCACCAGTTATTCAACTCCATTCAATCAATCCAAAGAACGTATAGTGCATTTATTGATTCCGCCACACACTTGCATTCCAATGAAAGCTATGGCTATGAAAGAAAGTACAACTGTAGGAGGAAAGGCCATAGAATGTAAGACAATGAAATAAAATGAAAAGAAAGAAAGAAAGGAAAAATAGAATGAAAACGAAAGGAAAAGAAAAGTAAGAAAGAAAAAAAAGAAGAATAAAAAGAAAAGAAAGGCGAGAAAAAAATGAAAGGAAGAAAAAAAAAGGAAAGGAAAAGAAAGGTAAAGTAAAGAGAAAGAACATGAAAGAAAAAAAAGGAAATGAAATGAACAGAATTGAAAAGAAAGAAAATGAAAGGTAAACAAAGGAAAGAAGGACATGAACAGAATTAAAAAGAAAGAAAATGAAAGATAAACAAAAGAAAGAAGGACATGAACAGAATTGAAAAGAAAGAAAAAGGGGGGAAAAGGAAAAAGAGAAGAAAGACAAAAAATGGTAAGGAATGAATAGAAAGAAAACGAAAGGGAAAGAAAAGAAATGAAAAGAAAAAGAAAAGAAAGAAAAGAATATAAAGTAAACGAAAAGAAAGAAAAGAATATAAAGTAAACGAAAAGAAAGAAAATAAAGAAAACGAAAGAAAAATAAAGGAAAGATTAGACAGAAAACGAAATGAAAAGAAAAAGAAAGGAAAAGAAAGGAAAAGAAAGGAATAAGATAAGACAGAAAAGAAATGAAAAGAAACGTAAAGAAAACGAAAAAGTATAAGAAAGAAATGGTATTAAAAAAATTAATGGAAATCTGTTACCAAGAAGGAATCAGAAGTTTGGGGGGGGGGGAACAAAAAAAAACTGGTGTAACTAGTAACCGTTTGTTGGTATGAATGCAATTGTGGCGGGACAACAGTTGGATGCACACATGTAAATATGGTTTAGAAGGAGACAGTTTTAACTTAAATAGGTAAAGTATGGTATGTAAATAGGGTAAGAAGACACAACATTGAAGACATTGCACCTATGAGATGGCCAGATATCACTTTTCAAATGATGGCTAAATAAAATAATAATAATAATAATAATAATAATAATAATAATAATAATAATAATAATAATAATAATAATAATAATAATAAAACATTAGATTAAATAAAGAAAAAAAAACATTAGCATTAGGCCTAGCAAGCCCGTAGCCAGGTTCTTCCTATGGGGGGGGGGGGTGTTTCTGGGCGTGAGGTCCACAGTCGAAGCCCTGGTGGGGTAGGTGAAACCCCATAGCAAGAGGATTTTTGTGTTTTATGGGTCTAAATGATGCTATAAAAGCAGATATGTTTGAAAAACCGCTGTGTCTGGGTGGTCTGCAGTGCATAGTTGGGTTAGAGGACTTATTTGGGAAATTTAAAGAGGGGGTTTCGCCAAAAAAGAAGGGGGTTTGCTAGAAAAAGGGGTTCTCCCGAACCATAAACCCCCCACCCCCCGGATACGGGCCTGCTTCGTCGGACCTCTTGTCGGCAAATTTCTGGTGCCACGGCTGCCAGGGATTGGAAAGCAAGTCAACTGCACCAGTTATTCAACTCCGTTCAATCAATCCAAAGAACGTACGTGAATTTATTGATTCCGCCACACACTTGCATTCCAATGAAAGCTATGGCTATGAAAGAAAGTACAACTGTAGGAGGAAAGGCCATAGAATGTAAGACCATGAAATAAAATGAAAAGAAAGAAAGAAAGGAAAAATAGAATGAAAACGAAAGGAAAAGAAAAGTAAGAAAGAAAAAAGAGAAGAATAAAAAGAAAAGAAAGGCGAGAAAAAAAATGAAAGGAAGAAAAAAAAAGGAAAGGAAAAGAAAGGTAAAGTAAAGAGAAAGAACATGAAAGAAACAAAAGGAAATGAAATGAACAGAATTGAAAAGAAAGAAAATGAAAGGTAAACAAAGGAAAGAAGGACATGAACAGAATTGAAAAGAAAGAAAAAGGGGGGAAAATGAAAAAGAGAAGAAAGACAAAAAATGGTAAGGAATGAATAGAAAGAAAACGAAAGGGAAAGAAAAGAAATGAAAAGAAAAAGAAAAGAAAGAAAAGAATATAAAGTAAACGAAAAGAAAGAAAAATAAAGAAAACGAAAGAAAAATAAAGGAAAGATTAGACAGAAAACGAAATGAAAAGAAAAAGAAAGAAAAATGAAAGGAATAAGATAAGACAGAAAAGAAATGAAAAGAAACGTAAAGAAAACGAAAAAGTATAAGAAAGAAATGGTATTAAAAAAAATTAATGGAAATCTGTTACCAAGAAGGAATCAGAAGTTTGGGGGGGGGGGGGAAAAAAAAAAACCAAAAAAAAAATTGGTGTAATTAGTAACCGTTTGTTGGTATGAATGCAATTGTAGCGGGACAACAGTTGGATGCATACATTTAAATATGGTTTAGAAGGAGATAGGTAAAGTATGGTATGTAAATAGGGTAAGAAGACACAACATTGAAGACATTGCACCTATGAGATGGCCAGATATCACTTTTCAAATGATGGCTAAATAAAATAATAATAATAATAATAATAATAATAATAATAATAATAATAATAATAATAATAATAAAAATGATAATAATAAAACATTAGATTGAATGTATATTTTTAAAAAATGAGAGAGACTATTTTATTGTTAATATTTATCTGAAATCATATTAAACGGAAATAAAATACCAGTAGGCCTACAGTAAAACAATAACCAATTATATTCGTCATAAAACAATGCCATGGTAAACAAACTAATTTACTGCAAAGGGAATGCACGTAAAATGTTTCTAAAAAAACACATACAAATATATTATATTTATGCTTGAATAAGTAAACTATACTAGACTTCCTGTACATCAGTAAAATAAGTTGTTCGGGAAATTTTAAGGATGTTTTTAAAACATAAATAAAGTTGATAATAATACATGTAATATAATAATAATAATTTCTTTACCAATATAGACCATAGTAGGAAATGATTCAACATTCTAAAAGTCTAAATATATTATTCTCCGGAGATAATTTAGTTTTGGATTCACGGGGTCCAGTCGGCCCGAGCCTCCTAAATATTTTCAAGGTTTAGGCCTACCTGAAATATAATAAGTCAATACGACTGGTTCCATCTTCCACAATTATAGAGTACTACAGTATTACATCACGATACCGCGTGATTACTCCGTTGATATCGTTGCAAAAATAATTCAACCGGGTGCCATTTTCTCCAATGACAAACCATTGATCCCAATTTCTAACGTAACTATTAAGATGTTGTATCTTACTTTTTCTTTGTAAATGTCATTATGATTAAATGTGTGTTCGATGACTAATATAATGCAAAGCTTTTGTGTTTTTAGTATTTTTTTATGGTAAAATATTAGATTTCAAAATGCCTATTCCAGAAAGCGTATGAAGTCATTCAGGCCTAATTAACGGTAACCAACGAAATTTCACTGCTAACAAATCCATAAGCAATCAAATTCACTGCTAACAAATCCATAAGCAGTGTAGATTTTTTGGACATCACCGTGACCATGGAAAATTGTGCACTTAAAACTGATCTCTTCCGTAAACCCACGGATAAGCATATGTACCTGCTCCCTAGCAGCTGTCACCCCCCGCACTGTACAAAAAACAAAGAGACAGCCCCCCGCACTTTACAAAAAACATTCCGTACAGCCAAGCATTGCGCATGAGACGCATTTGTTCTTCGGATTTAGATTTTCAGAATCGAACAGAAGAACTATCCGGACATCTCCGGAATAGAAATTACCATCGAGTACCCATTGAAAATGCTATAAAAAAAGCAAAGGACATACCTCGTGCTCAAACACTGACGTACAAACCACGTCAACGATCGACCAGAGTGCCACTGGTCACAACCTATCACCCTAGGTTACCACCACTAAGGGCTATAATTCAGAAACATATGCCCATCCTAAGATGTGTATAAGAGACAGACCATATGCTACATATTTCGTTGAATATTTTATTCCAAGCCTTTAG